TAACCTCGCTTCGAATCTCGAATCGCTGCGATTATGTGGGTCTTCGGAAATATACTTGACAGATTGTAAAGTCTGAATAACTTTCTTCTGAGCTTCCAGAATATACAGACCTGGAATAGTTCAGAATAAGTATCAGATTTACAATAACATAGAAGGTTTTGTCAACTTCAAAATTAATAGGAGTTTTCCTCAACAACTATGGCATATAGGGATCTTTCTGGGTCTATTCTATACATACTGTTAGTATTTCCATGTGATTGAGTTTCTGCTAACATGTTGGAGCTAGTCATTTCTGTGCATCATTCCTGTACGAACTGTACCCGACTTGCAAGATAGATGAGTTTAAGAGGAAGCGAGACTTAGGTTATCGATATAATGCAGAAGTACATATTTGGATTCAATGGATTTTCAACAGAGAAATGAGTAATAGGCGTTTGGCAAGGTGAAGAGAAGTCAACTTAGCTGCCAAATGATCTGCTACTAATCATGATGGATCATGGTTTGAAAACATGGAACAACTAGGACACTGTGCTTATGATAAGGTTTATTTTGTGTGTGATTTACTATTCATACAATATCATTGACTTCAAGAGGGAAATTTTTGAAGAATGACTCATTTACATTTTCAAGCTTGTACTTCACCGGTCTTTATGGGTAATAGAGAAAGGTTGGAAGAAGCACACAGATGCGATGTTTATATATTCTAATATCTCCTCATGACCATGGATGACCGATTCTTTGGCAGCTTTGTGATTGTAGTTTCCAAGAAGTCGAGAACTCCAAATTTTTTAGAACCTTATGCTAGTCTTCCTATTTTGTTTGGCTAATAGAAAATTCTCCGTGCAGCATGAATTTACCGTAACGGTCAAGTTTCAAATACCTAATAATATTGGAACAAGGATCGTGCATGGACAAAAAGTTCACTCTGAATGCTATACAATCGAGGGTGTCATTAGTAATTATAGGGAAAATTGCTCATTGGCATCCTATTTTCTAAAATGATCAGGGATGGTGCTCTTATGGTCATGTTGGGTCATTTTTAGCATGGTTTACTTCATTTGCATTATTTTCAATCATGTGAGTCATTATACATGTGTTTTTATCACTTGTGAATGTGAATGCTCTCTTACGTATTGTCCCCAGGATGATTGTTAAGTTGACTGTGCTCTGTTTGCTATCTATTTGTGATATATCCTACCTTAGTGTTTCTTATCTGCCTGTAAAATGTCGGAGTGCACTCGCTGTTTCATGTTTTCAAAAGTTAGGTCATGGTTAAAAGTGTGTGCAATCTTGAAACCATGATTGATCAGACTTTTGTGAATCACTAAATCATGTGCATTTCCACCTTTTGATAATATTTCCAGCTTCTGCTGGCTGTGGGAACCAAGCTGGAGCATGTTATTACACAATTGGCTCATGAAGTTGCTGAAAAGCATAGCGCAATAGAAGGGGAACTGGTTGTTCAACCGTCATATGAACACTTTTGGTTTCAACGCCCCCGAATAGTCCTCTACTTGATCTATTTTATATTTTTCCAGAATGCTTTTGAGATTGCATTCTTCTTCTGGATCTGGGTAAGCTGTTTTGGGGGTATTGTTTCCGAAGCCAATGGCGGCGGAGCAGGAATTTAGCTAGCAAGTTAACAGGATCTCATGGTTCCTTGTGTCTGCAGGTTCAATATGGCTTTGACTCCTGCGTAATGGGACAAGTCCGTTACATTGTTCCGAGGCTTATTATTGGGTATAACCCATGATCCAATTTGATTTCTATATCTTCAAATAGTTGCATGATATTAGCATAACAAAATGTTCATCCGCTTTCTCACTTTTGCATGGGCGAATTCAATGTGTTCATTCAGGTACTCTGCAGTTACAGCACTCTGCCCCTATATGCCATAGTCGCTTAAATTTCTCCATTAAATTTCTTCCTCCAGTAAATTTCTTCAATTTCAGCACTCTGCCCCTATATTCAGTGTGGATCATGGTCAATTTCATGCTCTATACGTTCTTGCTGGTGTCACCACTGCAAATATTGTTTGCGGTTCTGTTGATTGCCATAAGATGGCATTCCCAGGAACTTAATCCATAGTGACCTGTCTTATGGTGTTGCATCTTCATATAATGGTTAGGTGGCTGACACTTCCATGGCACTGCTATTGGCTCGATCTCCGGTGTGGGCAACACCACACCATTATCATGTTATTATTGTTAACATTCTGTATCCCGTTTGACCCAATTATCGACGCTCAGCTTCCGTGTTTCTCCTCTTTCTACCTTGCTTTTGTTGCCAGTGGTTCTCTTGGAGGTTTGATTGCCACTACACAACTAATTCCTTTTAATATTGCAGGTGGTGGAGGAGCTTGGAAGAGCAACTTGCTTTGATGACTAGAAACAAAAAAATTTCTACTTTGGAGGAGCTTGGAGGGGAGCATGTTATGTACTTTTTGTGGAGAAAAATGTGGCATCTTGCCTTGGAATTAAAGTCATGTGTTGCATCCCAACAATTACTATTTGTACGTTCTATCCCCTTTCTATTAAGCGAAATGTTGCTTTCCAATAACTAGTCATTGTTGCGTTTAATTTATTTTGTTTAACTAAAATGAAATTAAAAAAAAATAACTTGTTAAAACCTAGAACCGACCCTAGAACCTGTGACAGGATAGGTTCCAGATTCCACGTTCCGACGGGCAAGTTCCAGATTCTAAAAATTGAGGAACCTGTACTCAAGGGTAGATTCTAGATTCCAAGTGGAACCTGTGAGAAACCTGAAATCGCTCACCCCTACACCTGAGGCACGGTGTTGACTTGTATTTTGGATGGCTGTGGTTCACAAGTACACATATTAACACTTCGTCGAATCGTCTCTATACTCGATAGAGATGATAAGACTTCAAGACATCCACAACCGATGTTGGCCCAGCCAGGAGAGCCTTGTAAATTCTGGGAGCCTGACCCGGCGAGGCGTGCCTCTAGATCATTCGCAGGATAGGGTGCCATCCTTTGCATCCCATCCTTCGTGGGAGACGCGTGCCATCTGATCTGGTTGAGCAGCTCGCCAGCACTTCCTTGACCGTCTCTAGTAACGGCTTGTGCACGGAGCATCAAAAGAGTTCTCAAGTTGACCACATCCCTCTTGTGCCTGCCTTGCTTCTTGCCCCAGGCCTTCCCTCCATTCGGTGCTTTTGGTTGGCCAATCTGCATCATGTTCCGTAGAGCTTCACGAAGCTGCACTTCGCTTCCTTTACGAATGAGCAACACAATATCGAACATCTCCAACCTCACAGTTGATTCGGTGTAAACCAATGAATGCTTGCTCACCCTTCCATCTTCTAAGTTCACATCCTCCTGCAAAGAATTTTTCTTTCCTCTGTATCCTCCAAGGTCGGCAAACATGTTCTCGCTGTTCTCTAGTATTGAAACCAAACTTGTAGCCTGTTCTGTTGGTTCGATAAAGAAATATTCACCCCTCTCCGGATCAACTAGAATTTCATTTCCAAAAGTGCGCAACTGTGTCGCTTCCTCACATTACAGACTCACTTCCAATAAGTTCAGGCAAAGCAATGGCGCTAATTGGAGCTTCAGCACGTCCAGCGGTAGTGATGTCAACATTGACACCATCCCAAACATTCACCCAGATGGATTATTATGAGAAGGCTGAAGATTGGCTCTGAGGATCCCAGGTGCGGTACTAGCTACAGATCATATTGTTTTTCCCCAATCTGGTGCATTGTATTTCCTGTAAATCTTCTGAGCTCAGAAGATCATATCTTAGATTCCCTCTCGAGCAGCTCTTCTTCGTATTTAAAAGTACCCGTATACTAATTTATATTGTGTACATTTGTTCTTGGCATTTTAGAAACTCTCTTATATCATCTTATGAGGAAGCTATTCTGTCTGTCATGCAAATCAATAATTGATTTGAACTGCGAACTGTGAGTATTGGATGGCACGGAGCTTCTTGAAATACGGAAGGGGGAAAATTACGAGAAGTTAAGAAGGAGAAAAAAGAAAAAGAGCTGAACATGTAGCAGAGATTCTGGAAAGATATGCTAGTTCAACATGACACTACGCAATTCAATAATGATGTTTAATAGTAGCATTGCACGATTCATGTTGATGCTTTTTCCATCTAACAGTCCCAAGTCTGGGATTTTCCGCCATTATGCAATTTCTCTAGACCAAGTGTGACTTGTCTGCCTCTGACTTGCTTGGGGTGTTGAACTAAACGATGTGTGTGTAAACTAGCTCGAACATCGATTGACGATAAGACTCAAGACCAAAAGTTGCTCTGCATGGGGAAGAATTTGAGCAGGTTTGCTTTTCACAGGAGATGCTTGAAAGCACGTATCAAAACTTCAAAAATGAATGAATAGAAAATAAGCACGGTGTTTGGACCTCAGGACAGCCAACTCAAGGCAGAGATATCTCTGTAAACGACTCTGAGCTCATGAAAATCTTATCCGCATACCAAAAGAGGAGCAATGGACCCAGATTGGATCTCAAAACAAACCACACCACTGATGATTGCAGCAGGATTTTTAGAAAAAACCACGCTAGTGATGATTGTAGCAAGATTTTCCTCCATTGCAGACAACTTAATAGCTTCTCAGTTCACAAGATTCCAAAACAAACCACAACAATAGTGATAATTGTAGCTTGATTTTCCTTGATTGTGGACACAACCTAAAAGCATCCCAGATCACGTAATCTTTGCTTTAGCAAAAAAAAAGATCACGTAATCTTTGACCATGAAGATAATGAAAAACCACGGCAATATGCCTCGCATTAAGAGTGACTCCTATGCCATTGCTGGTGTAGAATCCAATATTTCTTTCATGTCCCGCTAAACTTGCAATCATTGTCAACATACCGCATAGAAACGTTTTAGTCATCTATTTTCATCAGACAATACAGTTCTGACAATACAGTTCCCTCCGACTTGCGCAAAGATGCAGGGAAGCTAAGAGATTCAATTTCAAAATCACCGATTGTGAACCTTACCTTTCGTATCTGGAAATGCCTTCTGACACTACGATAGAAACAGTAAGAGCCCAAACAGACAAGCAGGATGTGAAAATCTTTTCTTATCTACTTTCGACGGGCAATTTAGACATTCACCTCCAGGTCGATAGCGCATAGACAATCCTGCCCTTCCAGCCCTGCAATAGCCACTGCCCATCTTCTTCAATCTCAAAATCTTTATGGTAGTACGATTTCAACCTGTCCTTTGCCAAGCTCACCATATCCTTATCCAAGGGTAGCTGCCTAAACCCGGCCCTCAGGTTTCGCACGTGTGACATTTTGTATGTCTCGGGCCTCTCAATCCTCTCCGAGCCTTCACAGGCAATGACATTCATCGCATGCCTCCCGAGTATCTCTCGCTCAAGCAGCAACCTCTCTGGGGCGTCACGAGGTATGGTCGCCTCGAGCATGTCAAAGATAGCTGAAAAATAGAAGAGTGCCTCCCGGAACCGTGAAACAAAAAAGGGGACACCATGGCTGCCATTTATGATTCCCTCAATGAAAACATCGGGATTCATCTTTTTTATCAGATTCAGTACAACATCTCGTGGACTCTCCTCCGCCAGCACCGTGTCATCGAGTATGTTATGTAATCTATTTATGCAGTTCACGATAAGGATTTCATCGCTGTGGATATTTAGCTCCTCAACTTTAATGGCATCCCAATTTTTTGCTATAGCATTAAACTCGAATGGGATATTGAAAGTTTTGGCATAGCTCGCCAAGCGTCTTCCGGTTTCCTCGACGATTTCCGCTGGTTTAAATCCAGGTTGTGGCAGATCAATCGCAGTAATCCGAAGCTTAGGTGGTCCACTGGGGCCCGATGAGAGACGCTCTATAAGGCCAGGCCACTGGAAACCATAGAGAATTCCGATATCAATGATGTGCAACTTGGGTGCCTCCCTGGCCACGTTCATTATCGTCTTGTTCGAGAAGAAATTTGAGAGCTTCTTAAATGGACAAGCTGCGAGAAACAGATGGTAAGCCTTCAAGACATCGACAACCGATGTTGGCCTAGCCATGAGAGCCTTGTATATCTGAGAGCCTGACCCAGCGAGGCGTGCCTCAAGACCATTCGCAAAATAGTGTGCCATCCTTTGCATCCCGTCCCCTGTGGGCAACGCGTGCCTTCTGATCTGCTTGAGCAGCTCACCTGCGCTTCCTCGATCGCCCATAGTAACGGCTTGTGCACAAAGTGTCAAAAGAGTTCTCAAGTCGACCACATCCCTCTTGCGCCTGCCTTGCTTCTTGCCGCGGACCTTCCCCTCATTCGGTGCTTTCAGTTTGCAATTCTGCATCGTGTTCCGTAGAGCTTCACGAAGGGTAGCTTCGCTTCCTTTACGATTGAGCAACACTATATCGAACATCTCCGACCTCACAGTTTTTTCGGTGTAAACTGATAAATGCTTGCTCACCCTTCCTTCTTCCAAGTTCACATCCTCCTGAAAAGGATTTTTCTTTCCCCTGTATCCTCCAAGGTCCGCAAACGTGTTCTCATCGTTCTCTAGATTTGCAACCAAACTTGTAGGCTCTTCAGTTTGTTCGTTCAAGGAAAATTCACCCCTCTCCCAATCAACTAGAATTTCATTTCCAAAAGCGAGCGACTCTCTCGCTTCTTCACCATTGCCCTTGAACTGCAAAACAGACTCACTTCCAATTAGTTCAGAAAGAGAAGAGGCACTCACTGGAGATTCAGCACGTCCAGCGGTAGTGATACCATCATAGACACCATCCAATGACTGGCCAGTTGATGATGAGACGGATTGAGACACCGTGGTGAAGACAGTATGCTCTTGTGATTCACAATTCGGCTCTGACGCAACCAAGTTAATCGCACTAGCGCTACTATGACACGAGCTCTCATTGGTTTGATTAGGTAACGGATGCTGATCTGCAGCTGGTGGATACCTCTCTCCAATGACATCGTAGAGTGATTTCTCAGCTGCTTCGAGCGCCGAGGCCTCGTGACACCCGATGCTCTTCGCTTCTATGTCTTCCTCCATAAGCATCTGGTTAATGTACTTGAGAGCTGCATCACTAAAATCATAGTCCTCGGCCGGTTCCTTCCCGAGGTTAGCGCCCAAAGGAGGCATGTATGTGTAGCTATAGGTGAACTTATTGAACATGTCGTCGATCGTGAGCCTACTGGCAAGATCATCATCTGGTAAAATCGAAAAGGCGGCATCATCACCATCATCGACTATATACCCATCAATGCAACTATTGAGTTCGTCTGGTGGTGGATCCATTTCTATCCAATATGCTAGACTCAGAAGGGCTTCAGAACATCAATAGCTCAAAAAGATCTTAAAAGAATTTGTACCAAAATTCATCAACTCGCTGTATAAACACAGAAATGATTCCCCAAAATCGGGACTCAAGCAAGCGTACACCTGGGTAAATATCTCGAAGGCTTATATAGGAGCTAAGTTCCGCAAAAATGAAACAGCTAACGCAATTACAGTAAGAAGTACCAGCTAATCTTGTTTGAAAATGAAACAGAACGAGATGGAAAACTTCCCTTTTTGGACTGTCTCCGAGGAGCTGGGGGGATTCAGCAAGATTTGACTTCTTTCTCGAAGCGATCGAGTTTTGTTCCGAGAAAAGAAAAAAAGAAAAAAGGTTGTAAATCCTGGGTGAGAGGACAGCCAGTCGATTTCAAATTCCTCAGTATGATCCCATGTGAAAGTTGACTCTCGAGAGGCCTATACATATACGTGTCCTCTGGTCAAACTGCCTTCGTCCTCACGTCACCACCCACGAGTGTTATTTTATCCCATGAATGGGAGACTCGTCGCTTGTTTGATGGTTGCCAAAGACGAAAAAGCCCTTCTGATCATTAGCCCGACTATAAGTTGCGTGTGAGATTTAAGGGTCAGTTTGGTACGATTATTTTATGGTTAATATCGCGAAAAATTCTAAACTGATACACATACGAGAAATTTACCACAAACTAATTTTTTGACCACCAAAAATCTCAAACTGATACATCTGTGATAAATTTACCTTTCGTTAGTTTCTGTTAAATTTTACCACCAAATTACTGAATTGGATGACACACGGCAGTTGACAGGTGTAATAATTTGGGGTCTCCATTTGTCACAAGTATATCAGTTCGTGATTTTCTATCGTATTAATCTAATTTAACGGAAACTAACAGAGTATAAATTTATTACAAATGTATCAGTTTAGGATTTTGGGTAGTCAAAAGATTAGTTTTTAGTAAATTTGTCACATATATACCAGTTTGAAGTTTTTCGTGATATTAACCTATTATTTTAACGGTAGACATAATTGTGAATAGGGATGTTGTAGTCTTTTTAAAGTATTTTGCAAACTTCTCACAATTATGGCAAGCACAGTTGGTTAAAGCCCTGAGTAATTTCTAATTCAGAAATTGAAAGTCACACATTCGAATCACACAAATTACATGCAAACTGATTTGGATCGAAACTATTTACTTATGCCAAAGGTTTGAACTTCACTGGTTCATGAATCTCACAGGGTGTTCGTTGGCCTCCAGATAGCTGGAAGTCCACTTCTATTCCACTATATTAGAAAAAAGAATAAAAATTTGCTCCTAGAGCCCCACTAAAATCACTTAAATATGTAAAAATTCTAACAAAAAAAAAAAACCTAGTCTCACACCACCCAAAAAACTCAAGTATGCCAACACCTTCTCTCGCTGCCGACCACCAACTCCGCCATCTCGGACCACCCCAAGGAAGCCGCTCGTCACTATATCAACCCCTTTCTACAGTCAAGCTCACCTCGGGTTGTCACGAACTTGGATTGAGGTCACCATGCCATGGGGACCTCGGATGCATTCACCATCAACGCACTTCTTACGTTGCTATGCATGGTCATTCTTTTGCCCAGTCACATATTTGTCGATAATTTTCATTAAAAGAAAACTACTACTTAATATACTTTATATTAAAGCAAGATTATCATATATTCGGTGAAGTCAATAATAATTGCAACAAAAAAAGCACGTCTTCCGGCATATTTTCTTCATTGTGATTGATTTCTCTATCTTATAATTTAATTGTTTGTAAAATTTCTCTCAGTGCTGCGGTATTCCCCGGCCTTTTCTTTCTAGTGCCACCCGAAGTCACCGGTTGCACGTTCTGTCTGCCACTTCACGCCCATTTCATTCTGCAAAGTCACTTGCGGCATTCCAATTATACAAATCAACGTTAGGGACAGTATGGCTTGGAGTTGGCGATGTCTCCTTAAATTGCAACATGTTCTAACTTTGGTTATCCATAGCCCAGGGTATTGTTGCCGAGAAATTTATGATGAATTCAGACATGTGGGACCAGCTGTGGAGTGGTATAACCTGATTTGGACTAGTGGAATAAACAAACACAATTTTATTGGCTGGCTTGTTTGCAGAAACAGACTACCAACAGCGGAAATTATCGGCCAATGGATGACTTCAGTTGATATCCAATGTAACTTTTGCAGGGCCAGTATAGAAGACAGAACACATTTATTCTTCCAATGTGAGTGGACAGGCATCATTTGGCGCAGTATCCTTACACAATATGGGATTAGGCGTCCTCTAAAAGGATAGAATGAGGAACTTTAATGGATGATTAGGGAACAAATTAAAGGAAAAGACTTGGCGGCAAAACTCCTCAAGGTATCATTTCTAGCAACTATATATGGCATTTGGATGGAGCGCAAACGTAGGCGATTTCAAAACAAATCATCTGACATCCATATTATTCTGGCTAATGTCCGTAAAACTATAAGAGGTAGAGCTTTGCTCTTCCAAAAAATTAGACATTCACAGACAAATGTTACTTTGACTACTATATGGAGGCTTCCTACCTTCATCTTTTTGAACTATTAGCTCTATTGTAATGTTGGGGTATGCCCCTAAGCAGCTGTTCTCCATCTGCTTTATAATACTTACATTTTACATCAAAAAAAAAAAGTCACTTACGGCATCACATCTAAAATACTTGCAAACAGATTGAACCCTTATTAGATTGTTGGAAAACATCCCAGTGAAATTTTGATGATCACCAAATTATCTTTGTTGCTAATGATTACAATGATGAATGCACATAATAAAACACTTTACTATTTTCAGTGATCCTACCTATTGGCAAAGACAAGATACCAGTCAAGATGGTGATCTTGAAAGTCTTTGGTACAAATGAAGTTGGAAGGATCATTTGATCCGGCCACTGTTAAGGCTATTAGTCTAAGAGTGGACGTAGGCATGGTTATAAGCCGAACCACTATACATCATTGTGTGATCTACTTACTTCACTCTAATTTTTTTTTTGGTCAAATACTTCACTCTAATTTACTTACTAGCATCACACATACTGCTCGATTTGCAATATCATTTTGAGTGTCGATTGCTTGATATTCCGCAAAAGTTTTAATACATCAACACTCAACCTATTCATTCCCCCTTCTAGGTTGCTTTGTTGAGCCCAACAATTGGTGTCAGAGCTTCCTTGCTTGTCTATTGAAGTGTATTACTTTTGAGCATAAAGATCTGCTTATATAGCTAACCTAATAAATGGCTTTGCTCCTGATTCTCTTACTCCTAAAGAGCTTTTTAATATCGATGGAACAAATTACGCATACTGGAAGCAGCGTATGCAAGCTTATCTAGAAGCAATTGATCTTCAGATGTGGTATGTGATTGAAAATGGTCCAGCAATTCTAGACAAAGCACCTGCTCGACGAGAAGTACAAGATCCAGCAGTTGTTGTAGCCGTTGCTACTGTTGAGCTTGAGGAAACTCAAAGAAGACAGGCTCTTGATGCTAAAGCAAGGCATCTTCTTTACTGCTCTCTTGACCCTTCTGAGTTTAACGGAATCTCTTCATGTGTTTCAGCTAAAGAAATATGGGTCAACTCCAAGTAACATTTGAAGGAACCGATTGTGTGCGAGAAACAAAGTTGAATATCCTCTTAGGAAACTATAAGTTGTTTAAGATGAAATCTGACGAGACGGTTACCAAAATGTTCACATGGTTCACTGTCATCACAAATGGTCTTGCCAACCATGGGAAGATCTTCACTAATGCTAAGAAAATGAACAAGATCCTCAGGTCACACTACTAAAGGAGTGGAGTCCAGTGCAGACTTTGTTCGTGAGACCATGAGGATTCAAGCTATTCCTACGGATGAGCTAATTGGAATTCTAATGTCCTATGAGGCTAAACATCAAATTGAAGATCCAAGCTCAAAGGGTAAGAAAGTTATTGCTTCCACTTCTAATCACGGTGATGCAGGCGAACCTACAACATCATATGATGATGATGAAGGCATGGCTCCCTTCACAAGAAGGTTCAAAAGCATAATGAGAAAAGGAAGCAATTACAAAGGAAAGAGGCAAGCAAAATACTCAAACGAGAAGAAACACCACAAAGCCAAAGATGAGTCCAAATCAAAAGAATTAGTAGTCTGCTATGAATGTCAAAAGCCTGGACACATCAAGCCCGATTGTCCTCTTCAGAAAAAGAAGAAAGGAAAGTTTGGGAAGAAGAAGTGTGCACACAAGACTAAAACCTCGAGTGACACCAAGTGCGAAAGCAGCAATGAAGATGCTAATCACGCCACCCTGTGTCTCATAGCTAATTCTAAAGTCGATGAGGAAATTGAAGTAGAATCCCTCGAACTCACTTGTAAAGAATTGCAAGATTTTCTAAAGGAAACTTTTGAACAACTCAAAAAATCTTTGGAAAGAATGTCGGAGTTAAAAAAAAAAAAATTTTGAAGTTGACAATTGAGAACCTTTCTCAAAGAGTGTCTCTTGAAGAGATGAGAGATGAATTGCATGACCAAATGGAAAAGAATAGTCTCTATCTAGACAAGAATTACTCTCTTAAAAAAGAGATTTCGAAAATCACTATAAGGTTCTCTCTTGGTTCCAAAATACTTGAGCACATCCTTTCAAATCAAATTGCTTACTATAGCAAGTCCGGTTTAGGATGTGAGGGAAATGAGAAGAAAGTGATCCTTTTCCAAAAGCAAATTATAGCATTTCAAAGAAACCTTGTATTCCTATTCAAGTTTACAAAGATCATATTGTCAGGCATTTCATTAAATTAACATATAGAAAGTTCCCTGACTGCTCTAGCTGCAATGAGGATGGTCATTCTAAGCATGACTGTTCGAAACAACAAGCCAAGTCAAAGAGGGTGAACTGGAAGTTCAGACACACTAACAAAGGACCCAAGTTTGTCTGTGAACCAAAAAAGAAATAAATTTTCTCCTTGATGCAGGGAAAGAAGTCCAGCAAATGGTATTTGAACAGCGGATGTTCACTACTAACTGGAGATGCTAGTACCTTTCTACATATTACCCAAGTTGATGGTGGATCTATTACCCTTGAAGGAAAAGACAAAGGAAGAATAGTTGGTAGTGGCACCGTCGAGGTGAGAGAGCTAATCATTGATGATGTAGCATTGGTCAAAAGATTGAGACACAACTTGATAAGCATCAGTCTACTATGTGACAGGCTATGAGATCAACATCAAGGATGGTTTTTGCACAAATAAAGGAAAATATCCATCACAGAACTTTTTTTCAAAAAAAGGTATGGAAATATCTATCTATTGAACATTGGCTGTGAATGTACTCACTA